GTGCGCTCTGACCCGCGCAGGGCGTGGCCGCGTGGAGAGGAGAAAGCTTTAGTCACTTCTCGTTAGCGTGACAGGCGTTGTGAATATTGCTGACTTTTCTGTTGCTGTAGGAGTCACTCAGATGAGCTTGAGCAATGTGCAGTTATATACGGTACGTGGAAAATTTTATTTCGATTTTGAAGCATAAATGTCACGGTTTTTTACATCGAGGATGAGAAGGCAGCAGATGCTTTCCAAACATCTGTGTATATGACATCTGGAAAAGATCTACATCAAATTCAGTGTTGTTTCAGGACATTTTTACGATGCGCTTCTACGGTTGTATTCCTGGTACGCAGACTGCAAAAAGCTAGAATGAGAGTGAAAATTCACCCGTTCAGCATCGTCAGAAGTTCATACTGTGTTCAAATATGTTCAAAACAAATCCAAACAACAACAGCAACACAAAACCACAAACCCACAAAACCAAAGCCACCTCCTGGCTACTACAAGACCCAAAACCTTCTAGTCCTGGAAGTTCAAGCCGAGACGTGCTCCAAGCACGTGAACAGTACGCAGGATGATGCATATCTTCTTTCAGAAGAAGAAAAGGGACAGCAGCCTTACAGAGTGCTAGATAAACTGAAAATACTGCAAGTACCTGCTGTAATTCCCCCTTTCTAAGTCCTTCTATAACCTCCCTCCCTCCTAGGGGTTCTGCTGCCTACATTCAGGGGCCCAGATCCTGCACAGAAGTACAGTTCACAATTTTGAGTCGTGAGGGCAAGAGAGATGAATAAAGAGGGAAGCATGAGACTGAGGAAGCGGAGGTGGACAGTCAAGGATATGGAGTGGCAGGTCCTGGTTTGGAGGAACGTCAATGCAAAACAGCAGGCAGCGGGAAACGCAAGCATCGGCCACAAAACCAGCGTAAGTTCATTTGTTGAAGTCAAAGGGCTCGGCTGGTCCATTGGAAACGTGACTTGTTTGCACTGAAACTGTAACAGCGTGTTTCCAGTAATAAGAGTTGTGACTGGAATTAGTCAGGATATCTAATAATAATACATGTTCAGCACAGAGGAAAATAATGTGACCATGCTGAACTAACTACACACAAATGCATTAACATCTGCAAAAAGTTGCCATTTACTTTATTATTACCATAATTGGTTACTCTGGGCTCCAAAAGAGTAACAGAAGGAAATGGAAATTAAAAAAAAAAAAAAAAATGCAAGCAGGAATCTTTTCCTTAGATCTGCTATGTCAAGGATAGTTACATGTAAAGATTTATCTTTGAATACATTTTACAGTGCTTTTTGTTACACTGCAGTAAGGGAGGCATGCCCGACAGACACTGTAGGGTCTCACAGGACAAACCTTTAGCACTGGGAAACAGCAGCATACCTAGACCCTGCCACCTTGCTTTTTTGATGGCCACTTAGGAAGGAGCCCTATTTTTTCTCCTGGTACAAGTAGAAGTGCAGTAAGAAAAAGATCAGTTGCTGTATTGAAAGGAGGGACCTTTTAAAGGGTTAAGACAGAAATTCTGCAAGTGGCTTAAACCTTCAAAAGTATATTCTGCTGCTTGCGTACCCAGAAACAGTTCTGTTTTAGGAATGAATCCTAGTATTAATAGTTTAGATTTTTTTTTCTTTTTTTTAAATGACTCATTCTCCCACAGAGGAATAACGTTACTTCCTACTCCTATTTAAACCTTATTTTTTAATTCTGTAACATTTCTGCTGGTTACCATACAAAGTATGGCATGGTTTTATAAAAGTTAAGCTTTTTGTAAAAAGTCTAAACTCGTCCCCCGCCCCCCCCCGTTCTATTCTTGGTGGCTGAAAAATACCAGCAGCCTACCTCTACACACGGTCAGCAAGCACTCTGTAACACCATTGTTACCTCTGGTGGTTTTTTTAGTAAATTAAAACTAGATTCCTCAGAGATGAATCAAGAAACAAATGCGATGTATCCGAGCAAAAATATAGCATCTGAGCAAATAAAGTTTTCAGAATACAGGTAAAACTCCCAGGAACTTGCTGTTTTGGAAGAGTGCAGGTTGCCCTCTGCATTACCTCACACAAGCGGTCTACTCTGGGAAGTGGCCCAAGCCCATTTTGAAGCACGCCGAAATACACAATTACACTTTGGGTTTCTGCTGCAGAGAGCCTACCTTCATATCCTTCCTCCTGCTAAGATCTGCCAAACAAGCTCAGCAATTACATCTGGATGGTAATGCTACTCCCCGGCAATACCATGTAGTCATTACCGTGAGTTTTACCCTCCCGCCTGTCTCACAGCAGCCAAAGCCTGAGGCAGCGCCAGCAGGCTGATCCACAGCAATGACATTCCTGTGCTGACACATCAAAAAAGGAGGCTTTTAAGTTAGTGCTGTTTCTTCAAAACGTCCTAAGTGAATTATTCAATCCCTGGAAAAGAATTACGAGACAATTTGAAATCCAACAACTCTAGTAGTCTCTGCAGACCTTCAATGCACCCATGAGAAAAGTCAGAGGACACCCTGTGGCAGAAGAATGGCAGAAAAATGCACAACTGCACATCCAGCAGGGCATGACTTCACAAAAGCAATGCTACGAGAACGGACACGTGAATCAAAAAAACTCCTTGATCGGGAACCTGTTTAAAAAAACAAAAAGCCTATTACAAGAAAAAGCATACCAATACAGACCCTTTTAGAATAAATTTATTAGTCAACCACAATTATAAAATTTAAATATTTATACAGCAAGATGGAAAATTCTGAAGTAACCAAACCCACCAAACTATTTTGCTGCAGTATACACAGGAATGGTTTTGTTTCTTTCACGGGTGGATCCAATATCATCCTTTAATTACTCAACAACTTCTTGAAGGCATGTTTAATTTTGAGAATGGGATTTCACACTTGGCAGTGCAATATACAAAAAAAAAATATTCCAGAAATAAAAGGAAAAAAAAAAAAAGAAAGAAGAAAAGACAGGCACATTGAAGTCAGCTACTCTGTAAATAGCTCGTGGTTAATACCGTTTGTATGTGTTGCCATAGTTCAAAGGGTACAGATCAAAATGTTCCTTTGATACACAAACATAAATAACATGTTCCAAATGTTGTAGGTTTTTCTGCGAAACATGCGTGAAGTTCCCAAATTGTTTAAAATCTTCTGTAGGAGAGAAGAAATACAAAGGCAGCCAGAAACGGAAGCATTCACAAACACCAGAATAAGGCCCTTCCGAGCTTATTTAAAGTAACACGTTAAACCCCTTCATTCTCAGGTAACAGATTAAGAGGCCGAGATACACATCGTCTGCGAGGGTGAGGATACTGGAGGTTGGCAGTGTCAGCATCGCAAGAGTGCTCTATCAGAGGAGGAGGAGGAAGGAGCTGGGCATGACTGGACCATCTCGATCCAGCCCGTGGGGAATCCAGAGGGGGAAAGAAATACCTGAAACAATTAAGAAAGGAACAAAACACCAAAAAAAAACAAACAAACAAAAAAAACAACAAAACAAAACAAAACAAAAAAAAAACAAAACAAGAAAAAGAGAAAGGTAGTAAATACAAGGAGAACCAAAGGGGAGAAAAGACATGCTGGAAAAAAATAAAAAAGGCTTTAGTACATCCATGCCAAAACCAATAGAACATAATATCAGAAATCAAGGCTTGTAATTCAAAACAAGAGAAATCTGGAAACTGTTCTTTAAAGGAAAGTACAATCTTTTCCACTGAAATTCATAGAGAATACCGTAATAAGAACCTTAGCATACATTTTTACAAAAGAACAGATTGTTTTGGAAACCAAAAGGATGTTGTAGCACAGCTATTAACAGGCTTTCATTCTCCCAGAATTCCTGCTATTTGTTAACAGAGCTTTTAGTAACGCTTCATTTGTGACACAAAACATACATTAAATATTATCCAAGTACATTTTCTGCATATGCATCTAATTCAGATTAACTTCACAGCACTTCTAGAATAGACGTAAAAACATCATTGTTTTTACAATACTTTAGATTTTATAATATACATTTACAGAGAATAACTACTTTCAATGAAATACAGTCTTTGTATGTATTTACATATTTCTGCAAAATCCTCGTAGTAAATTTAAGATTCCTAGTGAATGCTCAGAATTAGGCCATTTCATGTCATTTTTCTGCTGTTTTTATAGAACTTACCCGTAATACTTGTGCATTTTAGTGTAACTAAATTAGATACCTACAGATGTTTTCCGTCTTGTTTACAGTTCTGTGGACTTACATAAAGGAATTACAAGACAATTCACAACAAGCTGCATTTTGGTTTCAATCCCTGTATGGCTCAAGTGTTTGCATTTTTTAGGATGCTATGCTTAGAGAATTTTAGTTAGTCCATGGAATTATTACCATAGGAATGTACAAGTACATATCAGAAAAAGTACTTCTCTTAGGATGACGAAAGTATGACAGTACTTACAAAACGTTTATTTGAAGTCATACTAAGGTATAAATGAAGGAATACCAAACTATTAAAAGCTACCATCTGTACAATTGTCAAAACAGCTTTCTTACTCCTTTAAAACTAACAGTTGCATATGTTATGAAGCAGTTACAAACTTGTGATGTTTAGGAATCTTAATCAAATGTTGAACACTATGAAATGCAAAACAAATTAGTTATCAAAACAATTTTAATGAAAATTATTTTAACAGCCACTCCCCTACTCCCATCCCAATCAAGGACAGAAATTCTGATTTTTAGTCATGAACTAGTCTTTTAATCTGACAAGCTTTCAAAAAAAAAAAAAAGTTTTGATATAGGTTTTGGGGTTTGATTTGTTTGTGTGGGTTTTTTTTTTTTTTCCTGAACAAGAAGCCTCTCCAAGTATTTTCCTATCAGGAGTTCCAACACTATCAAACTGTGCAGGCTAGTACAAAAAACGTACACAACGTGTTTTAAAAAGGCTTTTTGAATAGCATTTAGTAGTTAGCAGGCTGCTGGTGTCTTGGGAGAGGTCAAACGGCGTTGGGGAGGGGAAAAAGGAGTTCGTTTTCCATTCCTGTGTGCATGCAACAAGCAGCAAAACACCAAAGTTACTCCAGTTAGCTTGGTATCAGCTCTGCTTTCTGTTAAAAAGGACATAATACAAATGGAGAATGGAAATTGTATCATAAATCTGGACACACAATTACATCAACATAACAATATAGCCCTACTGATTTATTTTCCAACAATCTACATCATCTGTTCTGAAACTATTTTGATTACAAATCCAGTCTGGTGATCGCGCTTTAACAAAGTTTTCCAGATCTGCCCATGGCTTAGCTGTTTTAAGTGTTTAAATGTATAGACACTGAAACATAGCACCTACAGTCACAGACAAAAGAAATTCTCTGCAGCATACCAATTTAGTCAAATGTCAGTACATAAACGTTTATTGTAAGTGTTAATACACTAAATCAAAAGTTAGCAACTGTGCTTATGCTATTCAAGCCAACGTGATTACATGTTTTCTTTTGTAGTTAAGTGCGTCTTTTTTATAGTAAGGCCCAATCCTAGGACAAGACACCCTGTATTCTGAAATTCCACAGCCACAGTCTTAATTCTGCAACAGAATGTTAATTCCAAATTGGAGCCAAGAATAATTTATTAAAAAACAAAACAAAAAAGCCCTGCTTCCAAAATAGAGAGCAATGGAAGGAGTCTAAAGCAGCACTAGGAATCTGAGTTTCACAGCGGCTCACTGCCACTTGAGGGAGAGGAGCACAACCCCCGTGGGGCGGAGCGGGGCGCACAGCGGCACAGTCTTGGATAAGGAGATTGTGCAACCGCACCCTATACCAAAGAGGTACCAAATAGCCGGCACCTCCCTCTAGGAGCCCAAGCGAACAAAGTTCTGTAGCTCTGGAAATCACATTTCCACGACAGGAGTGCACTTCAGCATTTTTCTGCTACACTGTGAGCAGCACCTGGAACCAGATGACCAGGACCATTTTGCCCTCCTTTCTTGCTGGAGACCTGGCCCGTTACCACCTCCTGCTCTCCCGTGTCTCTCACGAGGAAGGTGGGAAAGCCCTTCTCTGTTCAACACAGCCAGGGCTCTGGAGCCAGAACTGCTCTTCAGGGCTGACTGCTGAAGGGGGGAGCGGCGGGCAAAGGCTACCCTCCGAAAGCAAACAGTCATCATACTTTATATATCAGCATTTTAAACTGAAAAAAGCAGTATTAGTACCTGCACATGGATGGAAAAGGAGGCTATCCATTTGGGGGGGGGCGGGGGGTGGAAAAAAAAAAATTAAAAAAATAAAAAGGTGGCCACAAAACTTGGAAGCTCCTGCTATGGAATTTGGCCACATCTAGTCCTTACATAGGATACATTCCGTAAAGTTGATTGTACACACTCCACCGTACAAATGTGGGACTCGGTCTATTTCTAGATTTTGGTGTGCACAAGTTAAAATGGTTTTCAGAAGAGGCAGTTAAATTTACCTACTAAACAGCAGTTATTACAGAATAAAAACATAACAGAGAAAGCAAATTAATCTGTAGTAAGAATGCCATATGAGGAAGATTAAAAAACCAAAACTTTTATTCAGTTGATGTTACACCTGCAAAAATGCAAGTAAACTAACACTGGCCTATGATTGTTGAAACCATTCATTACGAAGTATCTTTTCCTCCTTCCTTTCTGCTACATTATCCCAGTGAAAAACAGAATTTGCTGCTGACATTTTTGCTCCACTTTTAAATGTGCATCTAAAACAAAGGGGCAGTCACACAGCAGTATGATGAAGTTCCTCTTTGTTTGAAACTATTTCAGAAAAGTTGTTTTTACTATTTTTGAAAGGAGTAAAAGTGAAAGTAGTTGTTTACATTGCTTATTTATACAGAATGGTTCAGTATGGCTTACGGTTTTGTTCATCTTCCTCTTAACACTGGCATAACAGACACCATCACAGAGCAAAACTAGAAGAGCTTGTAGAAGTATTCATGCCATAAATGACATTGCACTTAAAAATTACAAAACGAACATGAAAGCTAAGTGAAATTAAGAAGATTCAGAAAAGAGACTATTTACTGAAATTCAATCTCTCTACTAAGTAACCTACCTGCTGGCAGATGATCCATTTAGTGAATTCTGTAGACTTGTATTGGCTGAACCTAGAGAGGCATTAAAAATTCCCTGCTGAGAACTACCATTCACTGGGCTCCCGTTACCTTTCAGTATACCAGTACACTTCCAGTTGTCCATGTAATTAGCTGCAAATATAGATACAGAAAAAACTGTTAGTTTCTCTTCCGAAGCTCAGCTTTTGATACAACTACGATGTTTCAACTGCTACGCACCTGGTGTGACTTAGAATTGAACTTCAATACCAATGTGTAAATTCCAAACAGCTGAGGATCTGGCCCTTTAGCTGTCTGACATTCTCTGCCTATGCACGATTTAAAATTCAGTTTTGTTGAGTAACAAGAATGAGTTTCCTTTATTAGAATACTGAGAAAGAAATAAGAATGGATGAGGAAACTGCCACTGGGTTTTTTTTTTTTGTTGCTTTTGGAAATGTGAACAGAAAAAAAAGCCAGTTTGCCTGAACATTGTGACTGAATGTAGCTTTTCTGGTTTTGGCAGTGGGCAAAGATAGTAATGCAGTACAGACGTTAATTTTAGAAATGACACCTTTACATAGCCTTAGTCTGGTGAAACAATTTGAGGGTCCAGTAACAACTATTCACAGCAGCCTAAGTCATGCAAATGTTCCAGCACAGAAAATTGTTTCCTTTGAAATGTAACTAGGAATATAAAAATCTGTCATTCACAAATCTAAAATGAACTTTTACTCCAAAATTATTTTTTGAGTAAAATTTCTCAAGTATATTCAGCATACTACAAAGCTAATGTATTTCAGGTGACCTTACCCTTCCAGAGCCTGACACAGCCATCATCGCCAGAGGAGGCAAGCACTGTGCCTGTAATATTCCAGCTCACTCGCCACACCTGGGAGTTGTGGTTATCAAACTGTGCCACAATATGAATTTCAAATTTTGTTAGTCCTCCAGATGAAGTCAATTCTTTCCTGTTTAAGAGAAAAGTGACAGTTCTGCACACAACTGTTCAAAGGTCTGGGCTTGAACACGATGACAAAAAGAGAGGACTACATCTTTCAAGGAGTTTATAAAACAATCGTTACTAGATCAGCAGTTATCAAGAGGTATTCAGACAAAATTATAGACTCGCTCACAATCCTGTCATCTTAAAAATCAAGCAGCTAAAAAACAGTCGTGCATACATTCAGTTACTACTTTTGCTTTGCAGATACTATTAAAATAAGCCTATATAGTATGCACCAGATCGTACCGAACTATCTTCCTTTTAAGCTCACCTTAGAGGTTTTAGTGTGAAAATTCGTACATCTTTGGTTGCTACAGCTAAGATGTGGAAGGATCTTCCCAGATTTGGAGCAAATGCAATATCATGTACAGGATCTGTGACTGTCATCAGAGCCTCTGCTTTTGCGTATTTCCTGTACAGCGTAAGAAATTAACTTTTAATGCCATCAAAATAGCCAGTGATGCAAATTATATAAACCAGAGATGGTGGACCAGGGAACAAGAGGTTAGTATACATGATGAGACTTGCAAAAATAAAAATATTTTCTTAATATAAATTTAATTGCAAGTAATAATTACAAGCTGATTTCCTCAGAAATTGAGTACATCAGATACAGTAACTACTAACAACAGTATGCTAAATTATACAACAGAGCAAGGATTCCAGTACAAAGAACATTTTTGTCTACAGTTGGAAAAGGGAAATAAAAAGGTTCTTACGTTCACAAATCTAAAGGGAATTTGTATCTCAGTAACTTACTAAATTTTCTGTGCTTGTAAGCAGGCCGCTATCTGTCTCCTCCGCTGTATGATAAACATGTATTCCATTTTCTTATTTACCACCACATAAGTTACAGCAACTTCTCTGTATTGTTAATGCACAGAGAACATTGTCTGAAGCCAGGCATAAAACCACGAAACACCTTGGCTCCTTTCCCACACCAATCACCCTGAATGAAACACAAGTTCTCTGTCATCATTTAAGTGAAAGTGGTTGTGCACAGACTTCCTGGCCTCTTCTCGTTCTGAATTCTTAAGCGTACAACCCGAACTTCCAGAGAACGCTAGGAACTCGCAGAACTTTGTCATTATAAACATGCTTTTAAAAACATTTTAAGGTCACCTTGAACAAAACAGCGCCTAGTGCAGTGCAATTCAAAATTTAAAAACATTTTAAGGTCACCTTGAACAGAACAGCGCCTAGTGCAATGCAATTCAAATTTCAACTTTGCCCTATTAATTCCTTGTGCAAGATCAAGTACATAAATTAGTAGAAGTAGAAACAACAATTCTTCCTTCAAAATGCCAATAAGAACACTGGCATTTCTGCACTGAGATGGAAAACAATTATCAGTATCATGTCCGTTAACATCAGTTACCATTCTGAGGTCTCTCTCTCCTTTCCCATCCAAAGGCTCAGAGACAGAATTAAGTATTACTATTTACTACCCCACTCCACATCTAATGACAGGAATAAAGCAAAAGGCCGTATATTACAAACTACTTTAAGATCCCAGAAATGTTATAAATTGTCATTTAGCATACCTGGTATTTTCATTATATTCATAAATTTGAACCTTAGCCAATATATTTGGACTGTTGTCATCACTTCCTACAGCTATCATTGGAGAATGTGCTCGAGAGCTAAAAGGTGAAAATAAATACTGTTATATTTACAAATGACTCCACAAAAAGTACACCAAGCCAATTTTTACATTTCAGACACATTATCTATACAGAGAAAAATCACAAGGCGGGGGGAGTGGAAGTCACAAGGCAACATGAGTTAGTGCTATTCACAGTTACCGGTACAATCTCCATTCTGTTGATCTGAAAGCCCACTTCATACACCCGCAAAGGTGAAATCATTAGGGAACATTATTTGGCAATTCAAGATGATCTCCCAGAGAGTAGGATTGATTTTATATATGCATCTGCAGTCAAGTATTTGCCATAAGTTTCACAGCAGAGTCTGCATTCTTTGCAGTACTTTTAATGATTAATTTAGTGGGATTTCATTCAGGTTTTGGAAGATAGATTACAAAAGCTAAATGTAGAGGAGTTCTAGTTTTTAAACCAACTTTTAACCCCATCCCACGCGTTAAAGTGAAAGGCTGCACTCTGAACCTTGGGCCCAGACTCCTGCTAATGAAGAGAAGAATCCCTGGATCAGCAGGACACAGACCACCAGGTCTGCAGGGAAAGCCACGAAGTGCTTCTGGACAAACCAGAATCCAGAGCAGTTCAGCCCTGAATGGTTTTTCCCTTCCGGTTGTTGCTGGGGGAGGATGAGAGATGGGAAGGGAAGGAGAACCTCTGCACGTTCTTCGGGGCAGGGACTCCCCAACCAAGCTCCTCTCTGACTCCTTCCTGCTCAAGGAGGTTAAGTATATCGCTGAGCCCCTAAGGATGTACCTAAAAGAACAACTTTTAGGCTTTGTACTTGTACTAGGCAGATTCTCGTGGTTCCTGGTCCTCTGTTGCACTGGCACAGGTGTGTGTCCTTGTTAGAGCTGTCAAAATTATTACCTATTGCAACATCTTTCTTAAGGAAAGAAGAAAGCGACAGGAATTGTCCCTTTATAAACACTGTCTCTTATGAAAATCCCAGTTAAGTTTTGTGGGATAAATAAAGAGCACTCTGTAGCTCTTTAGCTCATTACTTGCTAAAAATAATGAAGCTGGGAATATTTCCTCACAGAGCACAGGTGGACTTTTTGTAACAATTCTCTGGCTCTGCCAAACTTCCCTTATTAAAAGAAATGTTAGCAGCTTTCTTTCAGGGCTGAGTAATGTACAGTCAATCTTCTCCATCCACATTTTAGCATGCATTCTACAAATTTTCAGAACTAACTCTTCGGATCTTCTGCTTAAACAGTCATAAAGCAAAACCTACAGTTTTAATAACATACCTTGAAGGATTCCAAGAAATACAACTGCAGCTTAGCTTACAGGAGATTTCATGCTGCAGTGACCACTGACTGAGATTCATCACATCTGGAGCTTCATAAATCCTTACAACTCCATCTGCTGAACAGGTTGCTAACATAAGACCCATATGCTTGGGAGCAAACTTCACATCTGTAACCGATGTCCTACTGTCTACTAGAGTGGTCCTCTTTACCTGCAAAGAAAGGCAGAAATTCTTGAAGGAAATGCTAGAAATTTCCATCAAAAATTTATTCCCTAGGGAAGGCTAATGAAAGTCTGATATTGCAGAATAAGTTTAATCAACCTAACTTTTTCATCGTACTCTATTCTTTCAAGTATATTCTTTTGTCTGAGTAACTTTGCTTGGCATTAGTTAGCAGGAGAAGGAATTCCAGGTCACGTGTCGTAAACTCATCCTTGACCCAGTTGCTTGGCTACGGGGGGCCTTGAAGAAAAGAAGGAGGAAACTTTGTCAGCAGAAGCTGCAACCCATCGAGATAAGGACAACAAATGGCCCGTCGGGAGTTCGGAGGCAGAAAACCACAGAGAAACAGCTGAGCCCCGAGACCACAAATTACCGTTGGACCAAGAGGTGGCGTGGACAGCGCGTGGAGAGACTGAGCATTGGGCCAAAAGGCGCCTGAAGAGAGGGTGCACGGACTGTAAGGGTTTAAAAGCCCAGGCTTTCTTTGTTTCAGGGTCCCTCCCTGGAGGTACCCAGTTCGAGCTGTCATTCTGCTATACCATCCAAATAAATTACTTATTTTTCTAAGATGGGACATCTGAGACTCTGCTATGGGAAACTTAGGATAGAGATTAACGCCAACACCACCATTTAATAGGATCACTTACCTCTTCCATCAAGAACTAAAAAAAAAAAAGTATCTTTATACACCAATGAATTGGAGACATGACAGATCATTGCACTGATGCGATTTCAAGCATCAAGAGCTATACTCACAGTGGCATCAAAGTTCCGATACCAAAAAGAGTTGTTTAGATCATGCGCTTCAGGTAAAAAAAAAAAAAACAAAAAACAAAAAACAAAAACACCAAACCACTACCCAACACGTAACATAAGCATAAATACAGGAGTATTGGCCACAGGCAATTTGAAACCATCCTCTTTGTTCATTCTAGTGGCAATATTAACTGCGACGCCTACCGACGCCGCTTTCTCGTTTCAGTGCTGCTGAAGTTTACAGTGAAGCATTTTCCAACCGAGGCACCAAAACAAGAAGTATTTCTGCTAAGGGCCTGAGTGAATACAGCAGACATTTGACAGGAAGATTAGCTAGGGTGAAAAAGGAAAACATTGTAAACATTTGTTTTTCAAGTTGTCCCCTCTCCTGCCAACAAAGTACGAGTTTGAGCTGGAAACTGTGCATCAGAAGTGCCTCCTGCACAGGGCAGGCAGCTTCCGTGCCCCCCCACGGGGTGCCAAAGGTCCTGACAACGCAACTCTTCACAATTACGTACTTTCACATTAGAAAACTTCAGTAGAAAGTAGAAAACGACAGATATTTTAGCAACCTAAAACAAAACGCTATACTGATTTATAGAAGATTACACGTGAAGAAAAGCTGCAAAATAATGTTTAGATCTAAAATTCCCTTGATTAAATGCTACCCAGAACATCCACTTCCGACCAAACTATTTCCCCCCAAAACCTGTTCTTTTTCATTTTGCAAACAAAAGATCAGCATGAGACAATTCCAAATCAGCTCGTCACAGAAGAAAAAACCCACAACTTTAATTCTACTGTAGATGGGAATCCATGTCTGCAAGTTGTTTGCCAGGGAACACTTTATTAAGAAGACCAACAGTAGTGACAGTAATTGGCCTCAATGTTGCCATTTAGCTGTTTTCCCCAAATGCTTTAAAAATACTTACTCTAGATTGGAATATTGCCACAAATTAACAAAACATAGGCAAAATCAGGAACACTTTCTATTAACGTTAGGAAACAGAGTGCTTTCTCTGTTTCAGGAACAGAAAATATGTTGCAAAACCAGAAACGGCCAGTAGCTCGGTATTTAGAACAATTTTCATGTTCAGTCTTCCGTTTAATTCTGGAATTTAAACAGTTTAGAGCTTCAGCCCATTAAGATAAGCAAAGAAATCAATGAGGCACAGTAAATCTGTTTATCTGAGAACATACAGAAACTGTAATTAATACGTTAAAGTCTCACCCAGTGGCTCTGGCCTCGGAGTTTATCATTTGACTCTCCCACTATTTCTTCCCATACAGCCGCCGTTCTATCAAACGAGCAGGAAGCCAGGACCTGCCCAAATTCCGGATGGGCCCACGTCACACGCCACACAGATCCACTATGTGTCTGCAAGGTAACACCAGAACACTCTAGGGAAACACGCTCGTTGTGTTAGTCCAAGCGATCATACATTTTCATGGCTTTCCGCAGAAGCAAATTCTAGGAAGGAGACATGCTATTCCTCTGAAACCTATGTTCTTCAATACAGCTCAAAGTTAGGCAGCAGCCGTTGCATTTGTTTATTCCCATAAGCACTGGAAAGTTTTGTTGCTACTAGTTAATGGTACAAAGGTAACTATTACAAGTGTATTTCAAGGCATTATTTATTACTCCTTTAAACCGTAAGTTCCAAGCTAAGGTTCTGCCTTGACACAAAAAGTACACTTTTGTTTTCAATTTTCAGCCATTACCATGCTCATTCCAAGCTTGCCTGTACTTTTCCAAAGCATGGACAGAGCATTACTTATCTTCTCCTTTTTTTACATGAAACTCCTCCCTCATACCTAGTCAACCTTGTGCTGCTTTTTTTAGAGAAGGGGAGTTCAAAAGCTTCACTTGCATTTCCATCTACAGGGATTATTGTATTGTGGTCCTATTAAATACAAGTTCAAGGACAATTCAGAAGCTGAAGGCACTAATTATCCTGATGAAGCAGCCTCTCGATATGACACAGTTCTCAGAAAGGTTTTGGGGAAAAAAAAAAAAAGCGGTCAGATGTTGTAACACCTAATAGCCAGACCTCTTCCTTTTTCTTTTTTTTTCTTTTAAGTCTTACAATATGCAAAAAGGAAACATTCAATTAAAAATGAAGGTACTGTTTTCCAACTCCATAAACACCAGTTACTGCTATGTTTACTGATGACAAAGTCTGCCAACAGAACTAAGTACTAATAATATGAGACTGCATGCTAGCCTCTGCTTGAAGTGAGGGGCATTAGAGATGTTTTATAAAAGCAGAGAAAAAGTATTTCACCGTGAGAAATACAGGATCTACAACAAACCAAAAGTATTTCTACTTTGCAAGTCAGCAAAAACTAAGTACGTTTCTTCAAAAACAAAGGAGAAATTGTGGTTGTAACGGTGTAATTTTTATAAATACAAACCTTCCAGCTGGCAGTGCAATGCCAATCCCCGTTTTCACTTTTGTCCCAGACCTGTTGAGAAATCAAAATACAATCACACAATTTGCACATAAAGTTTACAAAGTAGTACTACAAAACACAGCCATTAATATACACACACACACATATACACACACA